TTGCTGTGAAACTGGCATGTAATCGTATTAATCCCTCATTAAAATATATAGTCAAAGACCCTGTAAACACACAGGTGTTTTCACTTATCAGCTGACTGTTGTTTGCCAGGTGAGAGATATTTCATCAATCTCTGTCTGTTCGGGAGGTCATCTAATCAGTGAAAGTGAAAACACCTTCAGGTGGGTGTTCTGAAGGTGTGAAGGACCTATTAATGTTTAGCTTTTGATAGAACACTTTTCTTTCACACTGTTATAAACCGCTTTGAACCTATGTACCAATAATGACGATCAAATGAGACTAAAGGGCACTAAATAATCTAAAACTTGTATCAACCATTGCAACTGATTTTACAATTTAAACCACATGTGGCAATGATGGGACATTGTATAGACCATAATGGTCTACCAGAAAACAATACAACTACTAATAACATCTATCAGTTTTGAAGATGACAATTTGGCCAATGTTTGTTTGCCAAAATACAGTATGTCTTATTTATCTATATAAATGTAGTTTAATGTATACATGTCCAAACCTCACGGCATTTAAATGCAACCCAATAGAAGGACATGCACCCCTCGGAAGTCACAACATTATGTTATATTAAAATAATAAGCAAAAACCAAAATCGTCCCCTCTGCCCATCTTGTACAAGATAGCCTGACGACTTGAAAGAAGAGCAAAGAGTAACATAGAGAAAGAGACATTCATACATGTTGGCTTGTGTTTATAGCAGGGCCCCTCTTTTTCTTGGTGAGTATACAATTAAAGACATTGTAAGCTGAATGTCAATGAGAGAGAGAGACGTTCTCATGAATGAATGGAACCAGGCAAAGTTATAGTGATGCATAACATTACCAAGCAACTAAGCAAGGTTTTTCTGTCACTTCCTAGCTCTGTATAACCAATTTATTTTGGGACTTTGATCTCATATCAATCTTACTTTTACTCCCAAATACAAATATTGATTGTATTTCTGGTCAAACAGAGGAGTATTGATCAGATCCATTGATCATAAAGTGGCCGACAGGAAGGGTGGCAGCCTGGACTGACCTTCATTCAAAGACTCAGTCAATCATGCTGTTGGATTTCTACTCAGTTTTTGGGTGAAAATCATTCTTAAACACATAAAATAACGGTTGTGTGATCTTACCTAACCAGTTCTTAAAAGTGTTACTGCAAGTTAAAGTACTATGACATTTCCATATTCTAGATATTTATCTTTGGTAATATGTTAAATCTATAGTCGGGTGAGCTGACAGAAGGTGCTTGCAAGACTGAGGGGCTTTCCTACAGTCTGATTGGAGACAAAAGACTGAGGGTAAAATAAAACCAAACCCTTTCGACCTAGAGGGAATTAAAGAGAAATTCGAGCCCAGGGTGGACCCATCAGGTCAGGGCGTTGTAACCCTCTAGCTTAAGGCTGAGAATAATAACATGTACACTTTAACCCTTTAATCAAACAGTACCGTAACCTTTTTATACTGTATAATTACACTGTTTCTGTAAACAGGACTATATTGACATTGCGGTTATCAGCAGCAAGCAATGTCTGCTCTCCTGGTCGCTGTGTCAATTTCTCATAAATGTTTGTTTTATGGCAGGAGAGGTTCATAACTTCATATGTTGGTCTTCTCACCATGGTGATTTTATAGGGGCTGTTTTTACATGACTTTACTACTGAGTGGGAATATGGAGCCTCTGTCACCATTACACTCTGACCTGTTCCTCAGGGCAGACAGGAACGTTTAAAGAAGTTCCAAGTTTTGAAAGGAAGTCGTTTATGGTGTTTCCTGCTCCAGCTTATAGCCAGTCAGTCACAGCATGGCTGGCAGACAGATGATCACTATAAACTGTTATCCATCAGCATGTCCTTTTATCCCATTAGCCAGGAGCACACATGCTTATTGAACAGTAGTACTCTAACTCGGAGTAATCTAAAGTATTAGCTATTGTAAGTACGGAAACCCCCTCTAGCAAGGACAGACATCAGCACTAAGCTGCTAAAAAGTGCTGCAGAGGCACAGTTTGTGAATTGGTGTTTGACTGCATTAGCACCCAGCAGCAGACAGGCTAATGTTTACAACTTTTCGGCATCTGGCTACAAACAGTACGCCCAGGCTAATTTATAAGATCTAATGCCACATTTGTGCTGTACTGCACTTCTACTTCAGGTTAAACTGCTACCAACTGTTAGATGTGGTATGTCTTCTCTGTTAATAGACAATACATTAAGGTGTACAAATTGCTTCCACACATATTGCTGTGTTGTGTTAATCAGTCTACTTTCTTGCAGAGGATTGCAGAAGGACATTTTGGCATTTGTTGCATATATCAGCATGCATTTCACTTTCACTGCCGCACAGCTTCAGCGCCCTTCGTCACTTTTTCAACGCTATTGCGGTATATGGAAAAATAAATATCATACGGTATAAAGCTCACAGTATTCGGTAGGAAATTGTATACCGCCCAGCACTAGTTGTTAGTGCTGTTTCTGACAGAGGTTTGGGTGGTGCAGCATTGGTTTTCTTTAAGAGTGTCACAAGGAGCTGGGAATGAATGTCTGTGGTCTGTGATGGAATGGCCATATTGTTATGGTTAAAGAACATTCAGGAGTAACTGATTAACACAATCATTGAGAAATCAGCTGTGTCTTCATGCCCTACACCAGTTCAGAAATGAGTTACAACAACCAGACACATTTAAAGGGTTGGACAAATTTCCTTGCCCATGAAACATTTAAAAACATGAACTTGCTGTTACTGTTGTGGTTGAGCACCAGCTCCGTTAGTCCATTCAAATCTTCCACTTCCTCTAAACTCAACCCCCCCTGTGACTGTGAGCCCTGCCGGAGGACAGTACAGGGAGGGGGGAATGTTGTGGCCATAATACTTTTAGATACTGGTGTAGTTGATCATGGTAGTGCTGAACTTTAATTTGGAAATAATAAATAAATATCTGGTGAACATTGCTGCAGCTATAATGACATCATTCATTTAGGGCACTGGCTTAAAAGGAGTTCTGTTCAAAGAGCCTCTTTATTACTTTGGAAAAGCTTTATTTGCAGTCATATTAGGTTTTCAGATCTTGTTTCTGACATGTTCTAGCCCCGTAACCATCAGGACTTTTGTTTCAGTCCATGAAGACTCCTGACGTGTAAAAAAAAACATGTCATTGCAGCCTGTCATATGTTCTGCAGTTACTCTTTTGGCTTGTTGTCATTAGCAACAGTGTTTGCATGTGCTTCCCTCCTAAATAATGGAAACGGTATGACCTCAATTCTACTTCCCACAAGGCACCAGGATCTGAGTCAATATGTCGAAGAAGAGGCTGGGTTAGAAAAAAAACCATCTAAAACAGGAGGGGAAGATGGACATAGAAAGTAACACTGTGTGTGTGTGTGTGTGTGTGTGTGTGTGTGTGTGTGTGTGTGTGTGTGTGTGTGTGTGTGTGTGTGTGTGTGTGTGTGTGTGTGGTGTGTGTGTGTGTGTGTGTGTGTGTGTGTGTGTGTGTGTGTGTGTGTGTGTGTGTGTGTGTGTGTGTGTGTGTGTGTGTGTGTGTGTGTGTGTGTGTGTGTGTGTGTGTGTGTGTGTGTGTGTGTGTGTGTGTGTGTGTGTGTGTGTGTGTGTGTGTGTGTGTGTGTGTGTGTGTGTGTGTGTGTGTGTGTGTGTGTGTGTGTGTGTGTGTGTGTGTGTGTGTGTGTGTGTGTGTGTGTGTGTGTGTGTGTGTGTGTGTGTGTGTGTGTGTGTGTGTGTGTGTGTGTGTGTGTAGTTTAAAAGTCTCAAAAATGCTACAACTACTGTCACAAACTGGATGAATGTGAAGTATTTTGTTAAAGGAAGATGAAAGCTTAATTAAGGAGCACTATTGGAGTGACTTTGATGGTTATTGGACTCAGGATTAATTCATTTGGATTCCCGCTGTATGAAGAAAATACAGGGTGGCGCAAGTAAAACAATTCACAAGTGGATGAAACTGTTTAAAACACATGCTCAAAGTAAGCCGGATGTTGCCGATGTGTTTATGTGGATTCAAAAGTCGTAAATAATCTACAAAATGGAGGAGACCGATCTGATCGGAGCAACTGTGACAAATAATCCAACTGAAACCGGCATGGCCAATGACTATGTTTTTAAAATGTGCTTATCCAGACAAGCCTGGTTTGGACACTTTACGGGCAGAAGAAACATTTCTATTAAAGAAAGAATTATACATTTCTGTCTTTTTATGCCTTTAATACTAACTTGAATATTAAGGTATTCAAATTAATTAATCAATTGTTTTTTATATTTTATTGTAATGTAGAGACAAGGCTTTTAGTGACAATCATGTATTGCCTTACAATTATGTGTAAAAAAAAAAGGCTAAATATGATATTTATATTTGGCCTCAAATCATCTGAGGCCTGGCGCCCCTCCCTGTGATCTTTGGTGCCCACTGCTCTAAGGTAATAATAAAAAGGAGTAGTTTATTAGGGGCAACGGTGTTGATTAGACTAAATGCTGTGGTCATTTGAGTCTGTATCATTGCTATTGTATGGTTTTGCAAGGTTTTTCTAATATTTTGTCCATCTCCTTTTTTGTGATAGTAGGGCTGAAATTATTTGCCAAATGAATTAATTCATATATTTGGAACAAAAAAATAATTGGGACCTTTTTTGATGATTGAACCTGTTTCTGTTCTGTTATCCTATATCCATAGGATATGTGTTTTAATTCATATATTCAACTTATGAAAGCTTACGATACATTATGTTCTTCTTTCTTCTACTTTTATTTTGAATCTTTCTTAATTTTTTAGCCATGTTTTTGCTTATTTTAAACGGGTAATTTAAGTCTTCTCTTATTGACTATCTCTCTTTTATTCTCTTACAGGTATGCAGTGATTTACCTCCGTACATCCAAGTGTGTGGTTCTGCTTCTTGTCCCATTCCTGTCTTGGCAAGTCTTGTCCATGGCTGGTCCTGTTTTTAATCGGTAACCATCCAGCGTCAAGCTGGACTCGAAGACGTCACCTCCCCTCACCTGCTCCTTTGCCCCGCCCCCTCAAAAGTCTTCAGATCAAACAGCGCGGCTCCACGACTCTGGGCTCCGATTGGCAAGTGAAGAGGAGGAGGAAGAGGAGGAGTATGTCATTGAATCAAGTCGACCCGGTACAAGACAGGAGTTCACAGCCACCTACAGAGATGCAGAAACCATTACTGGTAAGAATACGTTATAACCTTTTGTAGACAAAACTTGCTGGAATCCATTTGGCAGTGTTAAATTGCACTAGATCAGGGGTGCCCAACCAGTCGATCGCGAGATGTGTCTAAAAATAGAACAACAATATTCTGTTTTATCGTTAATGTCCTATAACATAATCTTCCTGTGCCAGAATAATGTACTTGAACGCATCAAAGCTTTGTGATTGGCCGGCGTGACCCCATGTGTCGGGGCGTGGCTGGTGGGCAGTGGGCACTATTTCGCTGACGTTGTCCGTGTCAACAGGAGTGACAGTCCGCACACACACAAGACCGCAATTATGGCAGAAGCAAAAAAGCCCAAAATATATCATTTTCACTCCGAGTGGGAAGATGATTATTTTTGTATCTATTCCAATTCAAAGTCCAATGCGAGCGTGGCTTTATTCTTTCACACACACATACGGGTATTGGGCCGAGGGCGACACCGTACTTCCGGTATCCGCCGTTTTACGCGAGGTGCAAGCAGGCCAAGGGTTTAGCCGTACACCGTCTAGGTGTTGCTAAGCTTCCTGTACTGAATATCATAGTCTATTGCCTTAATCAATATCTAGTCAACTCTAAAATACCACATATGCAATGGCATGATAATATTATTGTGACAAGTGGGGTATTCACCTGGTGTTTCCAGAAATTAGACGTAGATGCAGCCAAAATCGACGTTTTTCCATACATCTGCAGGCAGTCCGTAAGGGCAATCCGACAACCCACACAGCTCTAGTTTACGCTGGTAACCACCTAGAGCACACCCCTCAAGTCCAGAGATGTAATCCGAAGACATGCAGCGATTTCTTCGGTCGTTAATTCAGAAAAAAAAACTAGTGCGCTCTGCCTTGCTACATTACCTAGCTGTTTATATTTGCACTTCCAGGATATTTGCACCTCCATGAAAATGGCGTATTTATATATATATATATATATATATATATATATATATATGGCGCGTGTTGCATTGTGGGTAGCTCGTGACGTCACTGTGTGTGAAAAAATCGAAGAAGGGTAATTTAGGAGTGGCATTTCAAAACAGTGCACAAACGCTACGAGACGGAACTCCCTCCTAATTCTGCCCTACGCTCCCAAAAGGGGAGGGGCCTGAAAGGACAGCTAAATGCACAGCAGTCCATTTTCACCAGGCCCTAACAACAAGAGCAAGGCTGCTACCATAGCATCTTATCGCAATCAGTCACGTTCTTGAGAAACACATGAAGTCTTTCAAAGACGGCGAAGTTGTGTAATAAAAATAACAGTAGCATTTCAACAGGTTTTTGATATAATAAAAACTCAAGTTGGATACCGTTATTAATCAGCTGTAAGTTTTAGTTTGTTTGAACTTATTCATTATAATTATTGTACAAAATGGTATAAGAATGCAAACTTAAATTGATTATAGTCTATCATCAATTCAGGTTAAGAAACTAGTGTTGCTTGCATCCTATTTTAAATGCATTTATTTTTATAATCTACTAAAATGCAACAAAAAAGGGTTTGATTCTATTAATTTTGTCTTTTTTATTGCACTGTTGCAGCAGATTCCTGTGTAGCTTCAGATCTGAGTTGTCTTATTAGTAAGCCTAATTTATACTGCAACACTATTTTTATATAATGGCAAAGAAAGGGTTCAGAGTCTTTTATTTTTTCCCTGTGTCATATGTGGCCGCACTGTTCAATGTTTCTTGAAAACATTACCCACTGTAGTATGTGACCTGTGAATACACTCCAACTCTGTATCAACAACACTGTTGTGTAACTTCAGTTAAATACTTGTATGTGTGTAGATTAGAAAGAGGTAAGATAAAGGATCTGCAGTATTTTATGAAGTATTAATCGTACAAAGGTCAGTTTTATACAAGTAGAAGTGTGTATTTACCTGGTAGTAGGCTGTCAGTAATGGCTACGCCTCTCTATTTGGACTGGTAGATCTCGGCAGACTGGCAACTTTAAAAGTAGCTCTCGGTCCAAAAAAGGTTGGGCACCCCTGCTCTATGCATTCATATATAATGCAGCTGTCAAATATGCCCTCCTAGTAAATATCCATCTTGTAGTATGGTCTGAGTCAATACAATAGGGTTGGTTATTAAATAAGTTTTCAACCTAATTAAAAACCTCTAAGAATTCAAGTTTACTATGAGTAATTGTGATGGTCAGTTTGTGGTCTATTTTGGATAAAGTGAGACTGAGGCATGTGGAGCTGTGAGAAAGGGTCACTCTCTGACCCTTTTTCTAATGTCACATCCTGTCAGTGAAGCAGCTCCAGGGGACCTCAGCTCTGTGTACAAGCCAGCATGTGAGAGGAGCTCCCAGTGGAGGGTCTCCATTAGCTCTTTCACTCATCTCCCCTCCTCCGCTTATCTTTCTCTCCGAGCCAGCAGCGAGACACTCATGTTTTGTCCTCAGTGATCACAATTTAGCTCTGCCGTGGCCCAACTCATTGTGACCAAGTTTCTGACGGACTCTTAACTATTAAAGTGTATTAAAGTCCCTTTTGTAATGCTGTCCTAATCATGCAACAGCCTATATTGTCCCAAACTCGATTTGAAACAAACCCTGATGACAGGAAAACATAAGGAAAAAAAAACGTTTGACAGACTACATTAGAATGTAGTACTACAAACACACTAAGAGACAAGTTGTCTTGTGATGAGACTTTAAGGACAACTCCTAAGTTTCAGCAGTGCTCAGACTCAATTTAGCAAGACGTTTCAGACCTTGAGAAACTGTAAGGAATGGGGCCCGGGGGAAGGGAAAGGGAGCCTTAATACAACTTGGCCTCAAGCCACATCAACAAGGCCATGAGGCTTGCCATGCATTGTACAACACCAGACTAATGGGTCGGTTGAACAGTGATTGAGACTCTTGCCGTTTCTTACACACAACAGGAAAATAGTTTCCTTCTAAGGTTTCCTGTAGCACAGGGGTTCCCAACCTTTTTTCCCAAGAGCCCCCCCAAATGACTCCTGTTGGAAGTTGCGCCCCCCCCCCCCCCACACACACACACTTCTACGGGCAGAAGAATCATTTCTATTAAGGAAAAAATTATACATTTCTGTCTTTTTATGCCTTTAATAGCTACTAACTTGAATTTTTATTAAAATTCATTAATCAATTATTTGTTATATTGTAATGCAGAGACAAGGCTTTTAGCGACAATCATTTATTGCGTTACAATTATATAATTTTTTTAAATGAAGAAAAAGTCTAAATATGATATTTGGCCTCAAATCATCTGAGGCCTGGCGCCCCCCCTGTGATCTTTGGCGCCCCCCCAGGTTGGGAACCACTGCTGTAGCACACACCCTCCTACCCCTTACCATGACCTTAGTTCCTTGTATTATTTGAACACAAAGTGGAAAAACGGCATTTAAAATTCTAGAGCTTCTGTTGTTTCTCCCCTTAAACACTCAGAAATGTCTCTCTTCTGTCTGTACATCTATTTAGTATCACATTTATTTTCACAAGGTCCTACTGGGCTGCAGCCTACAGTGGTTAAGAGCCTGGATGCTCTCTGGAAAGGTCATCAGTCTATCACAGAGCTACATTCACTACAGGCAGTTCAGAGTTGTCAGGTCACCAATTGGAGGACACCAGAGCACCCAGATGTCCTGTCTTGTTTCCTTCTAGATGGAGACGCTGAAGTTTAGCACAGCAGTAGTTTTGCAAGAGCTTCTTCATGGGAAGCTAAATGTTGTGTGTAGATGTGTGGAGTCCATGCACTGGAAAGGGCGCTAACAGTTTTGATGGGCTCTGGATTAGTGCATTTATGGCTACTTCCTACTGCATGCTGTTCTCCCATGATTAAATAAGCAGGTGGAGGACAAAGTATAAGGAACACTGTATTGTCGTGACAAGTACAGTAGCCTTGAAGCTTGTTTTGAAGCTTATTACTTCAAGTCTCAAGTGTAAGATACCTTTTGTAGGAAATGTTTGCGCCTGTGTTGCATTATATTGTTAGGCTGTAACTAACAATTATGTATACCATCAATTACCAGCCACATTTATCGTTAGGTCAATACCATGTCAGAAAATAGTGCAAAAAGTCAGTTTCTTAAAATCCAAGGTAATGTCTTTAATTATCTCTTGTTTTACTCAAAACAGATTGGTTAAAAAAAAACAGATGCATAGGGAATTCTACATATTTGAGGCTTTTAACCTTATTTTCCCAGAATGACAATTTCCTTTAATGATTAATAGATTATCAAAATCATGATAATATTTCTTACAATCTACAAATCAGTTATTAGCTGAACCTGGGAGAAAAATGTAATTGCATCACAGTCTCCGTTTCACTTTTGCCTGTCTTTGGTTCTGATACTGTCAAGATGTCCAGGTTAATGTTGTGTGTCTTTGTTTTAATGTAGTATTCTATGACAATATTCTGATCTCCTAAAGATTTGAATGTGGTAGTTTCATTTCCTTTCCCGTGACTTCAACCTGGCATTATCAGTCAGACAGACCAGTGTTTCCCCTACCATTGTCTTGGCGCTGCGCCCCTCCAACGGAGCCCCACCAACGGAGCCCCGCCAACGGAGCCCCGCACCCCCCTGAAATTCAAGGTGTTAAAAAAAATTGTTTTATATATATATATAGCACCAAATTGCAACTAATCTATATCTACTGTCACTTTTCACATTGAACATGTGCTCTTTTATTAAATAAACTAAACACTTTCATTTTAAGTTGTGAGTTTAGTGTTTTTGACCCTAAGAAACACTGATGCATTAATCAATAACAATAATCCACAGCTCCTCTCTCTGCTCCAGAGGATTTAAAAAAAATATATCCCCCCCCCAAGCAGTAAACCTAGGGGTAACACTGCAGACTGAACAGACACAGATTGGTACATGCTAGTGCAACAGCTAAACGGGTACATTTTCTAAATCAGATGGTGAAATACCATGCTGTTGTAATATATTCTGTAGTCATTTGTCTTTAACACTATCATCATTTAAGGGCAGTACAGTGGA